GGACATGCTTGGACAGAGGTTACGTCAACGTCAACAACGTCCTGCCAATGTCCAAGAACTTGCTGCTGCGTTGCAACAGGAATGGGACAATCTGGACCAAAATGACCTTAGACGTCTCATTAGGAGTATGCCACGTCGGATCAATGCTTGTTTGGCAAACAGAGGAGGATTTACCCGTTACTGACTTGGTTGTGATGCTGTGGTAACTTTGCTGTTTGACCCCGGGTATCATTTTACCCTTATAATGGTCAGTCTGTGCCTTACTTAGTCTAACGATCATTTGGAATAAATCGATGAATGTGAACTTCATTTCATTTTGTCATTTGTTTCTTCGTCAGTTTCATTAGGTGACTTTAATAACACTTAAAAATCAAATATCCCCTACTTTTTTTGAATAGTATATTAACGATGTAGAACGCCAATGCATTCAATGCACACATTATATTGTAATACTAACAGATAAAACATGACCCACTTGAGGTATAGATTTAAAAAAAAATTCAACATTCAACTGCTTTTTTGTGGTCGACACGATCGCGGTTGAGGATTTTACAGGGGCTTTATCAACTGTACCCCAATTTTAACAATTTAAAAAAAAAAAAAATAAATATCGTGTCGAAAATAAAACCTTAAAGTTCTTAGCCTGAATATATTTACACATTGGTCGCGCATGCGATTGCATTTTTGACATAATAATAGTTGAGTCCCCAAATATTTTTATATGACTTGTTATCTTGACGTATAAATATACAATTATCGCACGTTATTGTTAGACTATGTGTAATGTACGTTTTAACAAAATGAAAAAAAAATAAAACAAAATCAAATCAACACATGCATAGTATTATGGAGCTATATAAGAGAAATAAAATGAAAGGGATTGTTTAAATTACTTACGTGCTTGGTGATATGTACGACTGTGACGTTATGTTGAGTGAAATGAGTCATAATAACGGATATCTGTTGACCAGGTTTCCGGTTGATAGCACTCTTTTAACTACATATCTACACTGTTGTATTAACATATAAACTATACAGAAAACTTTAAAGTGTTTAGTTAATATAAGTTGTTATTTTGTAGTGCCTAAAATACAAAGTGACACTGTCGTTCAAACTTTAAAAAATCAATCAAATAAAACAGAAAAAAAATGATGTTATGAAAGGATAAACAAATTCTTAAAATTTAAATTAAACTGAAACTCTCAGCAGGAGACTGGAAGTTTAAAAATCTTAACATAAATACATCGCCTACATGTTTAGTTGTAACAATATACATATCTATCTACCATGTCTAATATTTCTTAGTTTACACATCAAAATCCTACAAGACATTCATAAAAAGCTAGAAAGGGGAGAATGTTGCCTTGAGATACGATAAATGTTTTTGTTTTTTTTTTGGTTTTTTTTTTTACTTCGTGAGTGAAGGTTTTGTCAAAGAGCAAACTGTCTGATAAAGGCATATCATAATTCAGGAAAACGTGATATTCGTGTTAAAACCACATGTAATGTACCATCTGTTGGGGTTTAATAATCACAAGTGTTGTATTTACTTTGAAGACTTCTTGAATAAGCTTTTTGATACGCTCAATAATGTTGATATGCATAAAAGTCAGTCGCGGACCTACGTTTTTGGGGCCTGCAGCTTGAACTTTTATGGGGATCCTTCGCAACAAGATTTGGCTAGTCACTGTCATCTACTTTAGTGGTGTTGTTCCCTGACAGAAAAAAAAAATTACAAAACCCTTCACTGGTCTACGTCAAATGGGAACTTAATTCATTAATCCATAAGTCCTAATTCTTCTTGGGATATTTCCAGAAGACACAGCTACAGTCCAGTAGTTATTCAACCCTAAGCTTCTTATTCTATGTAGTAATCGTCCCACTATTCCAGTGGTGGACCAAATGGGTTTTTTAAAGATGCATTATGTAAGAGCTAAATTTTTACTTCAAATGTTATATTATAAATAATTAATTAGACATTTTATTCACATGACAATCAACTCTCTAGAAAATCAGAACACATTCGCCATTTAAAAATTTAACGGATAAAATGGATAATCGAGAATTTGTTTATTGTCCTAGCAGTGGTAATTGACAATCGAGACTATCTTGTCAAACCTTAAAACACTCATAACTTCGCTCAGAATAAAGTCATTTGACCGAAATTTCAATATATTTATTTTTCATTCTATAGCTTTGAACTATTAAAGCCAGAACGGTCAGCCCGTTATCTAAATTTTACATGAAATGAAATGGGGTTTAACGTCCTACTGTTCTGTTCCGAACTGGGCTAATGAAGACGGTAAATCTTACATCATGCATCTTTAAACATTGTAGATTAAACTCTTTTCTGGAGCTCCTTCCCGGATTAGGGGTCATGAAACTTAAGCTCCTTTGATTTTAAAGTAGATCCGCCACTTGGTAAAAGTAACCAACGAGAATAGAGGTTCCGTGTTTTTATCGTCCAGGATGTACTAACAACAGTGGTATTCCTTCTTGAATAGCAAAATCAGATCATAAATAAGACACCAAACCTATTTGTTATGACATCTCTTCACCAAGGAACAGTTCTAAATACACGATTTTATCACACACATTTTCCTTATTGAGTTTTAATTCTCACATTTTCAAAAATCGCTTGAATTTGTTTTATCAAATTAAATCCATTTCAAATTTTACAATCTTTTCCTTATGGTTTGTCAACCAACTTTATATTATGCCAGAAATTGTTTGTGAAATGTTTGAATATTGAGTGGTGAAATCGGAACAAACGTGTGCCAACATTTGTTAAACAATAGCACTGATTGTTTAGGGGGCCAGTAGCTATTTAGAAACGTTCTTTCTTCTATTTGGTCACGATTTGTCGCTTTTGGTTGTATTGTAAAAGCTTTGCAAACATCCCAAAATTGATCAGATTTTGTGCACTAACTCTGAATTCTGATTTTTCACGCCCAGCGTTCCAAATCAACAATCTTTTACTACTGCTCCGTCTTTATTCGCCCAGTCGGTGCGGAAAAGTAGGAAGTTAAACTCCATTTCATTTCTACGACATTAATAAATGTAATTTGTGTACATGACGAATATACCCAACTTCTAGAATGCCCGGGTTAAATTCTACTTGGAAGTTTATACTTTGTTTTGTAATCCGTTTCTTCTTTCTGACTGGGGAGCCACGGTGGCTCAGTGAGTAAGACGTTGGCTCGCTAACCTGTAGGTCCCGTGTTCGATCCCTGCGTTTGCCGAGAAATTTCATAGGGATTTTCAGACGTGTTTCCTCCTTGTCAGTGATGCAGGACCGAGGGACCGACAAAGGACAACGTATAGTCGTTTCGATGGGACGAAAAATGAAGGTTCGTGTAGACATTGGCGGTTGGAATTCGATATAAGCGTAGGCCATAGCACCGCTGTCCGGGCAAAATTTCCCTCGTAGCACTAGCACACTGTATGGCCCAGCACCCCATTTCATTTCTTTTCGACTGATGTATTAGACTATGGAAGCCCATTGCGGTTATGTTATGATCTCGACTTCTCGCCTCTGTGACAGACCGTCTTATTACTTCCATTGATAAATGAAGTAGTATATACGTTTGCGATTTCACACCCAAGTGGAACCAGATGTTAATAGTAGTAGAAAGTAATGGACCTATGTATGTGTAAATAGGGCTTATGTAAACAGGCCAAATTTCACCCAATTTTCAAAATGACCTAAAACAATGCCACTATGGAGATATGAATTGATTTAAGTTGTAGGTTTTAAACATGACATCATTTAAGGTCCAAGTTAAAGAGCTACATCCGGACAGATTTATTTATACGGTTACTTAAATTGTATAAGTGTGCCGTAATTATGTACGTGATTAAAGTTAACGTGTCGCCGACTCGCTGCGCATAAGTAACGTGTCTTAGGAAAACGTAATACTACCAAGCGGTGCGGGTGGGATAAAAAAAAAAGAGTTTTCATATAAACATTGTTAGTTCACCTAAAAGATACATTGACACGTGCAATCTGAAGGAAAGTTATCGCAAAATTCTCCCCGCTTAACCCAATTTTATTTCTATCAATTCATCGAGTATAGAGATTCGGGGGTTTCATATATTACCTAATTGGTTGTTCCCCGAAAAATTGTCATAGGCCTTATATTATTTCCTGTGATACGTACTAAAAATACACATATATCCTGTAATACGTACAAAAATTACATATTATTTCCTGTAATGCCTACAAAAATATACATATACCCTGTAGGCCTAATGCGACTTATATTTTAGGATCTAATTCGCTACGGCTATGCTTTGGCACCTAGAAATGGACATAAATGGGTCGTAACGCATATAATAATATAATATGAATGCATATAAAGTGATTTACATTCAATGGCAGTCCACGCCGGTGGCATTCTCCTGGGCTAGATCTATTTGTTAAGGCCAACTCAATTTTCGTCATGGTCGCTGAGAGGTAAATAAGGTTGGGGCACGAGATTGTTGTTGAAATTGTAGGTTACGGTTAATTTAAACGTTAGTGCTAAGTCCAGGGTTAGGGTTAGGGATGGGATTAGCGCTAGCCCTGTTTATATCTCGTGACCTTTGACCAAACTTGAAGTTGGCCTTATCAAAAAGATCTAACCCATTCTCCTATGGGATATGTTTAGCCTCGTTCATCGAGTCGCTTGATTATGGCGCTCGAAAGCATTTAGGCACGCGATTCGTATTCCAATTTTAAAATTTTCATTTTGCCTTAAATATTGGATATCAGATCCCATCTTTTAACTTTAACATGACAACACAACGTTGATTTAAATTGACTAACAAGTCTTGTTTGCAATGTCGAAGACTGGATGATATTGAGTTAAAGACTTGTCACCTTTAGCAATATCAGAACATTGTACTTCAGTGCTATTCTTTGACTTTTGTTCAACAAGTATTTGTAGATACTCGATGTTTTGACCGAAATGGACTGCAGTCAATCAAAATCAATTTAGTATTATCTCCCTTCATTTTACTCTCATACCTGGAAAGGTGTCACCATGGTTTAATTACGCCTTCATTGCTGACTTGTCAAGCGCGTCTCCTAGGTAAGTATATTACAATAGTATTTATAGAAACAACTGTAAACCATTCTAGACCAAAATATGAATAGCGACAATGATATGAATACAATGCTAAACGATATTTTATTTTAGATGAACTGTTTATTATGTATGTGTTTTTATATATATATATTTTAAGTCCTTGATCGACCCATGCTATGTCCATTGTAGATATTGTAGACTACTACAATATCCTATAACAGAAAGTTGTTTTTTTCATAATTGAAATTCTTCGGTCGAACCAGGACGTAGCCCTGCCGTTGTAGATGCATTCAAGGCTATTAACCATCTAAGCTTATAATAGAAAATAAAAGACCATACCCAAATCCCATAACATTGTAGCAGAGAAATACCAACAATGTTATTAATTTCATACAGTATCTAACAATTTGAAGACAAAATATTTAAAACTAATTTTATCTCCACACCCATGCATCCCATGCAGAATGTTCACATCTGCAGTAAGTCGAATAAGGAGGTCTAAATTAGACACATAATGTCTATCTGTGGTAATCTTTGATGAATAATTTATGGAGCTTTCTATAGTTAATCTATAAATTATTAATAGATAACGCGTCTGTGGTGTGATGTTACGTTAGCGGTACAAAATGAAAATGTTCAGACACAATACATCAATACTGCTAATGATTTTTTTTTAAAATACGATCCTCGCCCCAGTTTTACCTTTACAGGACTTTGAGCGAACATGGCATTATATTGAAAATATGACCCACCCTGTATTCAAACTCTAATATAACGAAATATGACAGACATTATTTGAGATAGAACGACCCCACCCACCTTAGTTTCCTGATAAAATATTATATTTATTGAGTACACACGTCTGTATAAAATACAGGACCAAACTATTCCTATCTCTCTTTTTAAATATGTATACAGAGTGAGCTGAAATAATATATACTTAATATGTTGCAAACCCGTGTCAGTGATTCTCTAGTTAATACCGTGTTAATGAGAGATTTATTTCTCAGTAGAACTATACGGGATTTCCCAGGTTGGAATCCCACAACTGACCGAGAAGAACCTTTCCAATTCTTATGTCCGATTCCAAAATTACCGATCCAATAAGAAGAGTGTGTTTTATAGCTGTGTAACCTGTGTTCGAATGGTATAATAAACAAACCCGCGGTATATGGCCTTAATATTAGGGGTGCATGCACTGACGTACAGTATACTTTGGAAGTTCAAATTCGAGAAATACTGAGTATTTTATACTGTCAGCGCAACCAGATATACCCGACACGCACACGTCTACAAAGAAAAACAATTGTGTTACTCTCAAAATGACCAAATATTGTTAAACCCCTTTTCTTTCCAGTTGATAATACATGATATCGATTAATCATAGATAGCCTACCATCTAAATGTGAGATTTATTCATTATTACAGTAGACGGTGGTTCGGCTCATCTACGTAATCGATAATACTCTGTTATTGATGTCAGATTAGATGAATTACAACTGTATAAAAACATTAAAATAACATACACTGAAGCATAAACTATAAGTTGTTTCCAATTCATTCCCCATTTCTGTATTCCAATTTAGTAAATATCATTAAAGATAATTTAAGTCGATTACTCGTCTAAGGGTTTGTTAAATCAATTGTAAGATGCGATAAAACTGATTTTATGTACAAAATACTACTAACAAACCAATGAACAGATCGAAGACACAAATATGCAATTAAATGTAATTGGAGACGGGTGTGTTGTATTGTTTCAGATGAATCAGCGAGATGCCATCACAGATCCATCTAATAAACACGGTCACAGCGGCTGAAAGAATTGTCTATAAACTTCTAGTTGAACAGCCCTTATTAACCTTCAACTGCAAGGGTACAGACATCGGACCCAGAGGTAATGATTAAAATTGTATTTAGAATGTGTTGCTTTATTGTTAACCTTTCGTAAGAATGTAGAGAAATGAAATGAGGTTTAACGACCTATTTTTCTGTACCATGCGGAGTAATGAAGACGACAATACTGTAGCTATAATTTCTGAAGCTGCCAATTTCAAGTTTATAATTGCATAGCAACATATCGATCTGATGTTTAGATAATAAAACCACGATATATTTGAAAGATTAGACGGTAGTGCCCTATACAGTCTATACGGGGTGGCCAAGTGGTTAAAGCATGTGCGTAGCATTATAAGGTCCGTCATTGAGTGGTTTCGATTCATCGCTTGTACGGGACAAGGAGTAGGGTCACCTGTCCAACCTCATGGGTTTTCTCCGGGTCATCCGGCTTCCTGCCACTGCTAAAGACCCCTACGCAAAAGCGAATTTTTGAAATAAAATTGAACTATGAACCAGACCTATAGTAAAAGTTTACGTAGAATACGCTGCCGTGTGGTAATTAGCCCGCCGTTGGGGCGTTTTCGAGATATTCGGGGTCAAAGGTCCAATGAGGTCATTGAATACGCAGTCATTCTTAAATCATGAAAACATGCTGAATATGGTCGAAAGTAATACTCTTTCAATAAAAATGTAAACTTGCTAAATTTACCTTTGTTCTTTGTGACCCCGGAGGTAAAAAGGTCAAATCTTCCGTTTTTGCACCAGGTCGATTTAAAGCAATAAATGTCAACGTAAAATATAAAAAACTAAAGCGAAACCTGTTCTAATTAATAATAGGAAAATAAAATTTATCTTGAGGTGGTCTTAGCACCGTACGTTTAGTTTGGAGCGTCGAAAAAGATCTTGCATAACAGGACTAAAACACGTCGCGAAACCTATTTCAAAAATACGTAAAAACCCTCAAATCGAAATATCTCAGATTTAGTTTCGCAACGATTGCTATACATAACGAAACTAGTTCAGTGCCGGACTGGTGGGCCAAAGGCCCACCTGTCAGGTCATTGACCAAGGCCCACACAAGTACGCGCCGAAGGCGCGTCACGATCTCGCAGAAGGTGCGCGACCGTCAAAGGGGGGTCTTGGGGTGTTCTCCCTCCAGGAAAATTTTTAAAATTGACAACCGCAAACCCATTTTTAAAGCATTTCAGACCAAAGCAGAAGGCAAATTTTTGACTTATGAAGAACTAAGTAGAGGTTAAAAGATGAATTACACGGTTCTCGGTATAATGAGGTCAAACTCACAAAGTTCTTTCCTTGTAGTACACTTCTTTTTTTTGTGTTGTTTGTCAGTCATTGTTTTCCTATCTTTTCTTTTTTTTGTCCTGTGTCCTGTCCTCTCCTTCCTTTTTTCTTTTCTTTCCTCCCCCTCCCCTGTCTTTCTCTTTTCTTTTTTTCTTTTTTCTTTCTATTTTTTCTTTATAGGCTTATAGCCCCCCGGTAACATTTACCAATACGGCATTTATATCCCGTGACCTATTATGTACAATGCATATTCAAAAAATTTTCGAACAACGAGTTCAGTGCCAGACTGGGTCCACCTGTCCGGCACTGAACTTGTTGTTCGAAAATTTTTTGAATAATTTCATGGTTGGACTCCAGCTTGCAGGCCACTTGGAAAACCGACGTTAATATGTGACCAGAAACGTAGCGGACGACCTGATTAAAAGTTTGGAAATTTTTTATGAGTTTTCATGAAAATTTCACCGGAACATGGAAACAGATAAAACCGGCATGCATTGTACATAATAGGTCACGGGATATAAATGCCGTATTGGTAAATGTTACCGGGGGGAAGTTTGGCAGGCTTTATGACACGGCCTGCAGGCTGAGGTCCAATCATGAAACTATTCAATTGTTTTTTCAGACATTATCTATATAGCAATCGCTGAGAAACGGGTATCGAATTCTTTTGGTCCTGTTCTGCAAGGTCTTTTTCGAAATTTCAAAGTAAACGTACGGTGCTAAGACCCACTAAAGCTAAAGTGGAGTTGTATGGCCGAATGGTTAGCGTGTGCGCGCTGTATTATAAGGTCTGTCATTGAATCAACTTGCGCCGTTTCGATTCCCCGGTTGTAACCTACGTGACAAGGAGTTGGGTTGTCTGTCCGGTTTCCTCCGGGTCCTCCGGTTTCCCCCACTGCTTAAGACCCCTACGCCCAAGCGAAGTATTGAAATAAAATTGAACCATATGTTAGTCCCGAAATGACCTAGTTCTCCGGGGTCACTGAGAACAATGGTGAATTTAGCAAGTTTACATTTTTATTGAAAGAGTGATTAGTTTCGATCATTTCCAGCATGTTTTCATGATACAAGAATGGCTGCGTATTCACTTTCAGTGTAAATGACCTCATTTGACCTTTGCACCGAATAACTCGAAAACTCCCCAACGGCGGACTGATTACCACTCGGCATCGTATTCTACGCAAAAAAATACTTTAGAAAAGTTGGGTCTGGTTCTGAGCCCATTTGATGGACACCCCACCGCCCCAAGCCCCCCACCGCCCTGAGACTCCAGACTATCTCTCCCGGCTTGGATTCAATCGGATTAAAATGAGACCCATCAATGGATTGATATACGAGCGTAATTTAAGGTAGTAGACCTATCATCCTATATGATAAGGAGTGTCCTCATCGCATTTTCTTTATTATAGGTACCATGTAACATACCTTTGTTTTTTTCTGTAGGCACACTAACATTGGTAACTGTATCAACACCTGATGGAAGAGTTTATATATTTGATATCAAAGCTGATCCCAATATTGTATTAAACGGTGGTCTTGTTAGGTTAATAGAATCAGTTGATAATATAAAGGTTAGATAACATTTACGATCATTATTTCACGCGGGATTTGAAAAGGAACCGATTTCAGGAAGTGTGGGTAAAGTTACTAACACGCAAGTCCAATGGAGTTGAACCGTAAAATTTCCGTTTATGTGTACCGAAGTCGAACACGTATTTGTGAAGTGGGGTGTGGGGTTGTAGATTTCTAGTCAAACTGTGAAAATGAGTTACGGCCGTGTTATTTGAGAAACCAAGTAATAACGTACAATTTGAGCTTAAATGAATGATACAGGAGTTTTGGTTATTATCGTAATGCTGCTGCTCATTTCCCTAAATTTTCCCCTTTTTAAATCTGGCAACTGTCCAGTGTGCACAAATATTACAACCTATAAACGACTGCAGTTGATTTAACAGCATTGGTTGTTAGATTGTAACGTTGTTTTGGTATTTGTATTCCTATATATTTTTTAGGTTCTTCATGATAGTAAGAAACAGGCAGAATGTTTATATAATCAATTTAAAATTCGTCTGAAACATATTTTTGATGTTCAGGTAAGATGAACACATTCTTTCTTACTGGTAAACTAAATTAAAATGAAAACCGATATTGCGATATTTTCCTGAAGATACTTTCCCAGGTACAAACTAGGTGATTTGATGATAAATTTGGACTAAAACATATTCAAACTAATTAATCTATCAAAATTTGGTTTCAAATCTTCTCCAAGCTATAAAAATCTACTAAAAGAGGTCATGTTTGTGTTACGTGAGTTGGCTGACGTGGTGCCAAGCAACGGGTGCGAAGCCGGAGGAGAATTCATTGCATTTACAAGACGATGTTGTCTTTAATCGCTGTCATTAAAATTTTATCATAAATATCGAAGTCTAATTAAATTCTTGGATTATCCACTGCCCACGTCTTTTCCGTGGTTCTTATCTCAGAAACTATTGTAGTTTAAGTCTCTCACTTTTTCCTATAATCCGCTCACCATCAAGTTTATCAACATTATAGATCATGCGCCCCCTAACGCTGAGCTATCAGACAATCTTCGCGCGCAATCTTTGACGTCACTCGAGCAGACATCCATAATCGTCAGGCTATCGGTTAGGAAAACCCTCACATTTTTGTTCTGTGTGCCCTCCATTAGTGTTTTCCAGGGAATCGAGTATTTTTCTAGTAGGATTGGATGTTTCTATTTTCCATATACACCAAAATTGCCATACTTTTATTGGTAATAATCACCTGGCCCCAAGTTCACAAAGCATTCTCAGACTTAAGTTGAGAATTTACTCAAACTTGTTCACCTTATTTTAACTAAAATATAGCCCTTTATAATAATTTTGTTGTTTGAATGTATGAGATACATCAATAAGAAACTATGTGCAAAGTTTTGTGTTTCTGCATCAAAGATATTTCTCATAAACAGTGATTGAAAGTTGAGCAAATTCTCAACTTTAGTCTGAGAATGCTTTGTGAACTCGGGGCCTGATAAATACTTTTGTGGGACAGTATCTTTAAAAAGAAACACGAGTGATCATATTTATTTTTTGAGAATTATTAGCGGAATCGTGTATGACGTTCGTATTATTATACATTTTTAACCGTCTTATCCGCATTATTACACATTTTGTATTCTAACAGCGTGTTCTTATTACATATTTTTTATTTATAAATTTCGCAACAGGATAAGTATGCAGATTTAATGGAGAAACGAGGGCTTCCTAGACGTAAATTAACATTACCGGCTCTATTAGAGAGATATAATATAGAAAGATATACACCATCTATTAAATTACAGGTAACTTTATACTCTTCCTTTATTGTTTGGGTCGAAAGGTTCTCGTACCACAATGGAGGGGGGGGTAACGCATGCGCGTTAGACCAAAAGGCCTGTCATTCAGTCAAGTGGCGGGGGGGGGGGATGGCCGAATGGTTATCACGTGCGCGTTGTATCATAAGGTCTGTCATTGAGTCGGATGGCGGGGTTTCGATTCCTCGGTTGTACCTGACAAGGAGTAGGGCCGCATGTCCAACCTCGTGGGTTTTCTCCGGGTCCTCCGGTTTCCTCCCACTGCTAAAAACCTCTACGCGCAAGCGAATTATGGAAATAAAATTGAACCATGTGTTAGTCCTGAAATGTGTCAGGTGGCGTGCTTTCGATTCCCCGCTTGTGCGTGACAAGGAGGGCGTTAAACCCCATCACACCTTCCCTTACTTTCGTGTTTTTGGTTACTTGACACTCTAAATAGGAACGAAATTGACACATTTATCTTGACATTTCCGACATTTAATATTATATTTGTATGTCGCCTACAATTTTGTTGACCTCATCTTCTTACAGAAACTGCTTCGTGAAGATAGAAATGTATGGTGCCGTAGACCCTTGACTAGTGCTTTCGATTCCCCGCTTGTGCGTGACAAGGGGGGCGTTAAACCCCATCACACCTTCCCTTACTTTCGTGTTTTTTGGTTACTTGACACTCTAAATAGGAACGAAATTGACACATTTATCTTGACATTTCCGACATTTAATATTATATTTGTATGTCGCCTACAATTTTGTTGACCTCATCTTCTTACAGAGACTGCTTTGTGAAGATAGAAATGTATGGTGCCGTAGACCCTTGACTAGTGATATGTTAAATACAGCAGCTGGCGATGTGTTACCGTTACTGCCTGATTTATACGTCACATTATACAGTTAAATTTTCGGGTTATTTTCCAAGCGTAAAACTAATGACGTACCGGTACAAAAAGGTAGGTTAGCGGGGCATATATTTAAAACACATGACGTAACATCACCATTACGTAATAAGAAAGCAAGAGCAGATAATGATGATTATTGTAAACATGTATTTCTAACAATCGGGGATTCCTCGGTAGATTCCGTGACCCCCACTGTACCGTGCAGTGCGTTATACATGCCATTACGTGTACAAAGTACTCTTGAAATAAATATTCAATTTGAAAGGCTTCGACTCAGTAATATAACCATTGGGAGCTCTTATAGATTATATTTGATAGTATTGACTCTAAGTGCTCTGTCAACTTAATAGGTAATGTTGCCTGGGCAGTAGTATTCACTCCGCCTACTTTTAAAATCAATTAACAGATATTGCCAGTTAAAAGTAAATATTTCCTGAATCTAACAACATTTGTGTTTGTTTATTCTAGGTGTTTAGGTTACCACGAAGGAAAACAAGAACTAGAAAACGCTAGCACAGATGACAACTTACCATTGTCGGAAAACGTTCCACAGATTGACAAATATTCACTTCCGGTTTCATTAACAACTGCTAAAACCAGTTTATCATTGCCAACAAACTATCTTCATATTCACCTCACAAAATAAACAAATACAAATTATATAAACTATTATTCGTGTAAACATGCATTTTACTAGAATTTGTATGTGTGTGTAGAATGCACAAATACCATTGCATTGTTTTAGAGGTATTTCAAATTTTAAAAAAAAACGGCTGGTTATAGGCCTACTGTTCGCATTTTTCGGGAGCACTGTATACTGTATAGGCTATAGTCTTTGAGAATTTTCTGTCGTAAGTGTAAAGGATTATTTGACGCCAACATCTTGATTTCTCGTGGCCTACAATTTGTCAAGTAAAACACTCGGACACACACTACCGACTTCTGTCACCGCATTTGGAATTGGAATTATCAATCCTGATATTTTGTCAGCCAGCGGGGCAGGAAGACTACAGGTACAGACGACGAATTGCGGTTTAAACAACAAAACATTACAGTCGAAGTGTAGACTGCAATGATCGAGATTACATTCAGTCATTATATTAACATGTTGTAACTTGCTATTGTATCCTTGTAGTTATTTGTTTGTAATTTGCTATAGTAGTTCAAAAATAGATAATGTAAAATGAATATATTGAAAATTTTATTCAAATTACTCTATTCCGAGCGGAGATATTAGCCTTCAAATGAAGGTTGACACGATGTGTGCATTAATTGTAACCACGGTACTGGTTGTTCGAAGCTAAGCTTCGCTTCTCCATTTTTAAATTAAATCAAAATATGGCTGGACCGCTCTAATCTACTAAATATCGGAGATATCCGATGGCATCGAGAGTTGATTATGGTCTTGTCATGTCAATAAATGTATAATTAATAGTTTATATCAGGCCTAAAGAAAGACCTGCAATAGGCACATTTATTTAGCTCTTGCATAATGTATGTTTAATTTATAAATAATTTGTTAATATGCCAATTAGTATTATACTACCCGAATAAGTATTATACTACCCGATCTCTTTTACGTCTTCTATAATTATTTATACAGTATTACATAAAGTCAAAAGGATCAACTGTCCATTTTACTTATTCTTTTTTATGTATTCATTATTTCATGTGATTATTTATATACATGCATTTCGTGACATCATGTAATAAAATAATTTTGAGAAATAGTTTTATTGTTCAGACCAGATATTCTAAAGATCTATTCGCATGCACAACATTTACATATACAAATTTGCTCTTATGCATTTTTGCTCATAAATTTACTATGCGTTCACACGAGTTTTAAGTAAGATGTGTAAATATTGAGGGTTACTTTGTATGTTATCCCAAATAATATGATGTCCTCCATTCTGTTTTGGTCTTTCATAATAGACAGTATAATTAATATCATGGACCGTCGAAAAATATGACGTTTATCATCTAAGCCAACCTTGTGGGTTTTCTCCTGGTCCTCCGGTTTCCCCCGAGTGCTAAAGACCCCTACGCGCAAGCTAATTATTGAAATAAAATTAAACCATGTGTTAGTCCCGAAATGACCTAGTTTGCATACCCCGCAACGATCGAGGGAGGCTCCGTGGACTAAATGATTAATTGCTTGTTTGGAATTCGGGCTATTTTTAGACCACATTGAGGTTGCTGTATTCACAGGCTCCTTCAATGTAAGCCCCGAGATTTCAGCGCTCGCTGACGACCGGCGCCGCCGTCTGAAGACTGGATTTTTGTCGGGCATTTCAGGTCTGTCCCCAAACATCCATCGGGCCCGTACGCCTATGAGGATGCATGAGAACGGGTAGATAAGTTGCCACTTCCCGTATTGTAAAACTTTACCTTTAGTGGTGTACTATTCATTACATACAATATCTTTACACACATGGGTGCAAACTATGTATTACACCAAAATACATAAAGATTTACTCTTTCTTATTAATTTTTACACTAAATTGTTGTCTTCTGTTCTCTCCACGTAAAGAATTTCTATGGTCGAAAGGCATATTATAACCAAATATAGGTTTGTATGGTATAAAGTATAATGGCTATTAGCCCGACTCAGATCACTCCGTTGGCAAATTGTCTTGATTCTACAACGACTTTAAATTTACAAATAATCAATTAGGTAATTCAAATTTCACTTATGTTCAGCAATTAGACACGGTCATAAATATACAATGATTAATGTTGATGTATATTATCAATATACATATCCACTTACATCATAATAAATTATTTTTTTAACAAACCACCCAGTTAAATAAACTCTGAACGCAGCCTGCCCCGAAATTTTAAAACCTAGTTTTTCTGTTTACATAAATGTATACATTAACCCTGGATGGTATTGATCAATGTGAATTAATATAAAACTTTTGCTTTCTTTCACGTCAGCTTGTCAAACCAGCGGCTGCCAGGCAGGATACGCACAAATTTTGCAAGAGATAGATAGACAACAAACTAAACAAAAGGCAATTTTTCGTAACATCAAGGGCCATAATTCAGGAAGGTCCTATCCGATATGCGCGAATATCGATATAAACCAAGATCTTTGGGTTATAAACATGTATTTCAAGTTTCATTAAAATCGGTTCAAAATTGTGACCTCTAGAGGGACCCCAATCTTGATATACCAGATGTTTACACTATTTGCGTAGAGGGGCGGCCATTTTGTCTGGCAGTTTTCGTCCGATTTTCACAAAATTCGAACTCAACCAACACTACGGTGTAACGGTGATATGTTCGAACAGGTTTTTAAATCAGTTAATAATTGTGACCTCTAGGAGGGACCACAAGCTAAAAACGCGATTTTTCGTTCAGTCAAGGGTCATAATTCAGGAAGTTACGATGCGATATGCGCGAATATCGAAAGAAAACAAGATCTTTGGTTTATAAACATGATTGTATTACAAGTTTCATCAACCTTGATATACCATATTTTTACACTGTCTGCGTTCGAGGGGTGGCCATTTTCTCCGGCAGTTTTGGTCCGATTTTCACGAAATTCGATCTCAACCGTCATTTTATAAGGTGTATCGGTGATATAGTCAACGGTTTTTTTTTAAATCAGAATAAAATTGTGACCTCCATAGGGTCCACAAGCTAATAAAATCGTGATTTTTCGTACAATCAGGGGCCATAATTCAGGATGTTACTGTCCGATATATGCGAATGTCGAAAATTACCGAGATCTTAAGGAGATAAACCTATATTTCAAGTTTCGTTGAAATCGGATGAAAATTGTGACCTGTAGAGTGTCCACAAACAATTGTGGACGGACGGACAGGGGCGACGACAACATACGTCCACATGAAAATGTGGGCGTATAAGAATTCTCGCGAATCTCCGAATCTGTATTGGGTCGGAACCTGGAAGACTCTCGCGATTCGGTATTCCGAATCAACGCGGATTTTGCCACTTGATTATAAATATTTTACCGAAATCATGCTTTGAATGTAAAGATCAATGAATCGATCTCCAATATGGTTACTTCGTCGACGACAAATGTACGCCTTCAGATTTTAAACTATGTGTAATAAGCCGAATATCAAAACACGATTTCGCACCTGACCATGCAAGGCAACATTTATTAGCACAGACCGCCATCTGCAGTCCCTTTCTGAGTTCCCTACTCAAAAACTTATATTAAATATTCTGAAATAATCTAATTTTGTCGAATGATCTAGTATATAATACATAACTCTGAGAGTTTTAATAATCATAAACCGGAAATGGATTTTAGAGAGAGAGAGAGAGAGAGAGAGGGGGGGGGGGGGGGGGTTAACGTCCACTCGACACAAACTAGGTCATTTCGGGATTAACACATGGTTCAACTTTATTCCAATAATTCGCTTGCGCGTAGGGGTTGGACAAGCGACCCTACTCCTTGTCATGTACAACTGGGAATCGAAACCACGCCAGTTGATTCAATGACAGACCTTATGATACGGCGCGCACGTGCTAACCATTCCTCCATCCAACCCCCAACGGATTTTGGCACACGAGACACAGTATCTACAGCCGTCCGTTGGTAGAAATAGGTTGCATGGACTACATAGCATATTCTTGTATCGTGGATAGTCTACTTGTATTCCCTAGACTTTGGCATGCAAATTTAAATGCGGTTTCCTATCATTTCTAGCTTAATTACTGAGTAAAGTTCCTGAAATTGATGCGCAGTCCGATTGTTGTACAATATTTTCTAAGATATTTCATTTTTCCTGAGTGATAATTCCCGGTCTTCATTAGGTCAGTCGGTGCAGAAAAGTGGGACGTTAAACACCATTTCGTTCAATAATAATTCACTACCGGACGGTAAGAGGACTGAGAAAAGAAAGAATTGTGTGGTCTGAAACCTGTTTATTAACCGGAACTTTCATTCCTCACGTGACACTATTTAGAAACATGGCGCATGTTGTTGAAGTTTCAGAAGTGAAACAAGGGACATATTCGGTTATTTAACACAATGTAGACTCTTTTCGATTGTTAGGAGGTTGAAATGGTTTGTAAAAACAAGAAGAACCCAAAGCGATGAAGAAATCGTCAAGTGCAGGCAACGAGACAAAACCGGACGTAGACAAAGCAAAGAAAGTTTACAAGTAGACTACCATATTTGTTTTTCTTATTTTTCCGGTTTCTCAATAAATCACCACTTTTCTAAGAATTCAGATAATACATGCATGACAGTGATACATTCGCATTGTCAAATGATCTTTGAGCCAAGATATCTATGCATCAGAAAATATTCTTATCACAAAGTCAAAACTCGACTCAAGTTGCTGTATTTCAAACAAATTTCTTTGATTATGAACAAACTAGATCTACTTAAAAATGGTTATTAAAATCCTACCTACGTGTTTCAAATACCCTCTGGTTAAATAAAATCCATTGTACAATTAAATATCCCAACAAATAATAAAAAAAGTTATCTCCTTGAAAATTAAAGTCCTCACAAACTTTGACATAGAACTAGAAGAGCTTATGTCACTCATACTCATAGGCATAGATCATTTTGTACAGGGGGGTGACAGTAAGGCTTCGTTATTGAAACAGTGTGTGACCCTTTTACGATTGTTGTTTTTCTACTACCAATTCTGATTCCTTGCCTGTTTTTCTTTCTGAAATTTCTATTTGTTTATTTTCAAGATATGCTCTGGATGCAATAAGAAAGCTAGATGACATAACTAAACAAAAGAAAGCTTACAGAGATGTATTCTCTCAAGAAAGTGTGGGATTGCGGAATAAGTAAGATTGGTTTATATGAAATCAAGTATCTGCAATCTGATAAAAAAAACAGATTTAAAATGTTAAAATTCACAGATTTGATGGCTTCCCCTTTTTATAGATCTGACTGGTTTTCATTGGAGGTCCCATCAGAGATCATATCTATGTGATATTAGATAAATAGCCTGTTAATGTTTTATTTTATTTTCAACCTCTAAATAGGTGATTCCCAGAATTCTGTGCACAGCTCATGCAAATCTCAAGCTACATTTAAAATTCAGACTATTTCATCATCACACATCAAACGGAATGTTGTTTATTTAAAAATTCTTTCAGATCATATTGTCTTGGCAGACAAATACTATGAAATTTGAACAATTATTAAAAACTGAAACATTATCTGTATTTTAATCAGATTGCAAGTAATGCTAATGTATTTTCTTTAATTCCAGAAATGTAGATATATAGAATTTTTATTCATTGCAAACATGTTATCAACTGATTCATCATAATTTGAAATTATCAACAATAGATAGGCCTACATTTAGATCACAGAAGGCCTATAAAATCTGATGATGAGTGTTTTAAGTTTTATCAAATGTGTTAGTTTAAGCTTTCCCCCATGTACAGATCTCGAATTATTTAACAACAAACCAACAATGTTTTGGCATTAAATATTTTAACTAAAGTTAGATTTATATATATGACATTTTAATGAAATAAAAAAAAAACAATTATAGACAATGAGTAATTGTTAGAACCATGTAAAAGAAAAAAAGATAGATTATTTTTCATATTGCACGATCTCTTTATACATGTAGATTGAAAGAATATTGTGAAAGGTTAATGTTCTATAATCCTGGTGAATATGGAAGGAAAGCAGAAGAGGTTTTATGGAGGAAAGTTTTCTATGATATTATACAAGTCATTAAACATAATAGAAAGGTAAATTATTCTTGCACCGAACAGTAAATTACAGGCATTTAAATAACAGACAGTAAATTTAATAAATACATAAACTTTCTTAGGATAATTATTATTCAAAAAATATTTAGATTCAGGCTGTGGTAGTCTGTTGATTGATTCTATGTCATCGTGAAGTAAACCAGAAGTTTGGTATATTTTTAGGCATTGAAATTTAAGTATTACTACATATAGGCTATATAATTGATTACACTGTTAAAAGAAAAGAATTTGTTATCTAGTATAAATATTGCTTGTAATTTTAGCACCTTCGACCTCACAGTTCACTACAAACAGCTTATAGATCACATCTGGCATCTGCCTGGGGTTACTATCAACATCTACTATTTAAACTACAACAAGAATATAGTCTTAATCTAGCTGGAATTCTTGACTTTCATATCGTAGCAGATTCTAAATTTGGTGAGTTTCAATTATTATATATAGATATAAGATAATTTTACATCATTATTCAAAACTGAATGTTATGTTTTGTCCCAAATTCCACATTTCATATTTGTATTATAATTTTTTGATGCCATAATATTTTAGCCAAGAAATCCAGCAGTCCAAACAGTAAGAAAATATCACAGAATGTTCAAGACTGGGCATTAAAAGCTTGTCACAGATGTCTGATCTGTCTAGGAGATATAGGTGGGTTATTCATTATTGCATGTTTTTTTTCCAAGAAATTAATCAATCAACAAATTGGGAGGCTCATCTTGATCCTTCATTTTTTCATTTACAGGATGTGATTCAAACCTTTATGGGAATTCATCTTCTCTGATATTTGATGGGTGGGATAACTACTGTTTTCTGTAAAGATTTGTGAAAATCAGTACTGTACAAATGCAACATTGTTATGATTCAGGTTAGTTATTGCTGCAGTGCATGAGGCAGGATATGGTTTCTCCTACTGGTCATATTGGGATGCCTGTATTGCTCTAAGCTTTGGTGAATTTAAAAGACTTTTTTGATTAATGTAAATGTGTGAAATTTCTGTGTATGTTTTTTCCAGCTCGTTATCAGCAAGATTTTGATCATGGTGTAAGCTGTTCCATAGCGGAGAGATATTACTATCAAGCTCTTATACTTTTACCAGAACAAGGTATCTTTCTATTTAACCCAGTCCGAAAAGTGCCTAGGACGTTAAACCCCATTTCATTACTATTAAAACGAAGTAGAGGTGTATCATACACACACTAATCAGTATTTTAGTGGATAACATTGTTTCATTTAATATTTGTTGCCTCAAGTAATTGTTTTGGGGCATCAGATATCTGGAACTATATTGAGATTGTTACCGAATGATCAAGGAATGGTGACAATATAAAATAAACTTACCATTTTGATGTCATTAACATTCAGGAGTATTTATGCGTTTTATTTTTTTCAGTTTACCAGCATTCATTTCAAATGTAAATAATTGCTACTTTTTATCGGTTGACTTTATATAGAGTTTGGGCTATTTTAAAAAAGTGGGCATTATTAGAATAATAAATATTTACCAAATACTTCAAAAAAAAAATTGAAACTAACTATTTGTTGATTATTTAAAGGAGCATAATCGCTAATATTTGCGACCTAGAAATTGCCACAAATGGGTCGCAACGCATATAATAATGTAAGATGAATGAATGTAAACTGATTTACATTCAGTTCTTTCCCTTTTTACTCATATTTGAAGTCAGTTATATTCGCCAAAATACGCCAGAAGTCTCAACCTCTAGTGTCTGGTTATTCCAGTCTACATCGGTATTATTTATTGCGCATGCTCTACAGATAAGAATATGTCGTCACCGTTTGACATGACTTGTGGAATATGTCAAGCCTGGTTCTTTGAGACCCCTGTTACAAATGGCACTGAAATGCATTGTGGTACACGATTCGTGTACCAATGGTAAAATATTTATTTTGTCTTAAATATTAGATATCAGATACCCATCTTTTCCCGGTAAGATCACAACATCAATGTTGATTTAAATTGACAAATAATTCGTGTTTTCAATGTTGAAGACTTTGGATGATATTGAGTTAGAGACTTAGCTACTTTAAAATACCTTCCATTTGAATTTTTGGATAGACTCAGGGTTATTTCATAGTGAATAGGGTTCACTATAGACCCACCTACCAGCAAAATATGTGTTAGTGGTAACCAATCTGCCAATATAATTTGTTTTTAAAAAATTGCATACAAATGATGCAGAGCATATTTCAAGACCCCCCCTCTACCTATAGAATCCAATTTGTCTAGACCTACTCCATCTTCAATCCTTCATATCATAATTTTATATGAAAATTCCTAATTATGCATTTCAGGTATGCCACATAATCAGCTGGGTACATTAAGTGGATCAAGATATTTTAATGCTGAAGCTGCTTATCATTATATTAGATGGTATGTTAGTTACATTGTTTTATTTGATGTACATATACAGTGGACTCTGTCACATCCGACATCGTGCGGGATCGTTACAATAATTTGGATCACACAGCGTTTCGGAATACCAAGCTTTCTCCAAAACCGGAAATACTGTAACTTCGAAAACCAGAAGTATTTTTATATTGTAGCTTCGAATCACCAGAATGCTATTCCCTTTATAAATGATAAACTTTTCTGTACTTTCAAAATTTTATTATATTAAATAATTAACAATAACAATGCATGTGTACAATATATTCATAAAATCGTTTACATGTAATATCAATGCATGCGTACAATATATTTATAAATATCAATGCATGTAATCGTTTAAAGTAGTTTGCTTAGTTAAGATTACCGGAAGCATATCGTAAGGCGGAGTCCTGGGCAACATCTTCTAACAAATGAATTGTTGCGATCATCTTTTCGTCCTTAATCTGTGCGAAGTGTTTAATGTCGTTGAGCATGCGTAGGAATTTTGAATAGGTCAAGTCTGTCGTTAATGTATATTCTTCATCATCCCCGTCTTCAGTCAATTGTCATTTATAATCTGTCGTTCTATGTCCAGTTTTTCAAGCCAATCAAAGTAAACGGGACCTGTCATCCAAGCTTTGTGATTGGCCGACCAATTGACTGGCAGGTAGATCTTGTCCACTCCCTTAAAACAACTCGGGTTCACTGCTTTACTGATCAAAGTAATCAACAAAGTTTTAATCTCACCGATAATTGATTGGTGATTACTTGTTAATCTTTTCTGGCTTCACACCCATTGAGTTTTAATCTCACCGATAATTGGATGCTTCACACCCACCGTTTGAAGTACGGATTATACGGTGTCGATTCAATGGAAATTATGTGACGGGACGGCTGATTGATTTCGGAATCCGGAACATAATTCGGATTTACCAGCGATTTTTTGGCTGAAGTAATAAGGAAATAAATCGGGACATGAAAATCATACCGGATGTCACAGCAATCCGGAGTGATCAGAGATAGGATGTGACAGAGTCCACTGTAGATACAATTGTTTTATTGGCAGTATTGAAATCAATGGGTACTCAATTTTGTGAGCTTGGCTAGAGGATAGAATGCAAGCTAAACATGCATGCAGTCTGCACAAAAGACATTTATTTTTTGCCCAAGACATTTTATATTAGCAGTAATGTTAACAGCAATCCTTTATGTCCCAGTGCTTCGCTTTGACTTCTTGCAGTTTCCTTAGCAAGATATGTATTGCTGTGAAAGTTATTTTTTTCAATACCCATATGTTAATGTGGACATATATTTGAATTGCGACAGTCTTACTCTCAGTCTGTCCACACCCAATAGTTATTCTTGGGTTAAACATGGTCCAGATCAATTTTGAGCATTTTCACTAAAGTAGTTTCAGAGTTATGGACGTACATTCTTGATTAATTCTTCACCGATTTTCAGCAAAGTTTCAGGAAAAGTTAGTATTGGGGTAAAGATGGACTGTATTGATTTTGAGCATATTGCAAATGTAGTTTCAGAATTATGTCCACTGTCACCTGAGTTTTATTAAATCGTGGAAAATGAAGCTGTGGGTGGGGGTTATGTAGCCTGGCAAGCTATGGTTTTATACAGTGGGCTCTGTCATTTCTGACATCACATCTGAATACTACGGCACTTATTACTTCAACCAAAAAAGTTTTGAGTAGGCTGGATTCTGAATATTCCGAATCCGCGGTCCCGTCACTCGATAATCCGTCCTTCAATCAGTGGGTGTTAACCGACAAGCAATCACCAATCAATTATCTGTGAGCATAATACAGTAACATTATATATAAATTGCCGAGATGAAGAATCACTATAATAAACAACAACAATAAACAACAACAGAATCACTATCATTATAATATTCATGTGTTCATAATGTGTGATCTTCTTGCAAAGCGTGCCCATAGTCCGTACAGATTTGACATTGAATGTCAAGCAGCAAATTATAGCAGATTTGGAGAAAGTTCCACGACCTACACAGAAGGAATTAGTCGTTAAGTATTCAAATGGCCGTCCTACAGTATCTGACAGTTGATGAATCTTTTGACCGCGAAGATAACGATATACCGCTTGCAAAATTAATCGAATCCTTTTATCTATTTCGACAATGGGTTTCTGACGGAATGTGATGAGGATATGGCCTCGAACATGTGGCCTCGATGATAGGTGTAACTTCAATTGAAGACGAAGAAGATGCAGTGTAATGATGCAATAAAATATTGAATGTACAGAAAGCGTTATCATATTTTAAGTTCCGGGTATTCGAGGGTGCATTATAATAATACTTCCTTCTGGTATTGAGGCAATTAAGTATTTCGACATGCTGTGTAATCCGGCATATTGTATCGATCCCATACGATGTCGGAATTGACAAAGTCCACTGTATTTCAGAGTAAATTTCTTTTGATTATTTTTATTACAGTTTATCCAGTGATAAACCATTTGAAGGAGCTGTAGGTAACTTAAAGAGATTATTTGAAAAGAACAGTAAAAGATATGAGGAATTGTCTGATTTTAAAAATACAGATTTAGGGCCTGAAGAAAAAAGGTATGATGAAATATTTTATTATTATTTTACAAGCATGTTCTTTAATCAAGACTCGTAAATGGTTGATTTTTCTTATGATCTATGTGCTGTGCTAGATGGCAGCTTTTCCACCTTCCCTTCATTGAATTCTAACTGCTTGGTTTCTTTCAATTGAACCATAGTTTTTGGTTTCATCTTAGTGACTGGAGAACACTTTCCATGTCACAACCGTAGGTGCTACTCGACATATGTGTATTTTAAGATAATTTACTTCTAATAGTACTATCAACGTGAAATTTTCAGGAATTGTTCAAATAGCCACAGCATGGCTTATCAGCAGTTTTGGGGGAATTTGCTTTATTGATGAATTTCACTTTTATGATGGCACTGTTAGAAGTGAGTTATTTTATAATTCATATTGTCAAGTGGTGCCTCCCCTTTTCTTGAATACAGCCAGGTTAGATTGAAGGATAAAGGAGAGTAGTTAATAAAACTAATGCCACTTATTATCAAGACAACACATATTATTTATAAGAGATTAAATTATATCTATAAAAACTTTTGGCAAAAGATTCTAAAATACAGTAGAATTATATTGTACATGCCTCATGTTTTGCACATGACTATCTACTGCAGAGTAATGAATAAAAAACGTCAAGGTTTCTGCGTGCATTTAGTTAAAAATATCAAAACACCGAAACACATTGCAATTAATTTTGCCTATACAGTTATATTCGGTTGTCCCCTGCCTTGTACTTAATGGAGTTGATGAGCAGAACAAGGGTTGTATGAAATTATTTATACAATAACTAAGGTCTGACAAGTACTTATACATCATGTTCCCTTATATTGCAGACATAAAGACATCAGAAGATTTTTTATAAGATTTGTACATTTATTAGAAATATTGCATGAAACTTCAAAACAGTAAGTTCTATATTTATTAATTCATGAGATTTCAATAAATGACTTTTTTCTTTGTTTTGGGAGATTGTATCACAGAAAAATATGCAGGCAAACAAAGAGAAAGAGATAACATTAGTGAACTAGAAATATGCAAGTAGGCCTTAAAATCAAAAGCCTTTCTGGCAAATCAGTCACCACTGTAACCAGGGTATCATTTAATCTTGTGTATTTAGCCGTGATTTCTTTCACATTCATTCCATATCAAATCTTTGTAAAATTCATAAAGTCTTGTACTTATATCCAGTTTAAAGCTGACCGTTTAATTTTGAAAAAAGAGTGTCCAATTTACAAGCATTTAATTTCCTGAGCACTATTATACATCAGTAATCAATTGGGTTGTTTATTTTTATAGTCTGGAGATCGCGGGTTCGCTCATTGTGATTTTTCTGGTGTGGTTTCCCTTTGTCAGTGGTACAGGATTGATGGCCTGTCAAGGATAACTGTCTATTTGTTCAGTTGGGACAAAAAACTGAGGTCCCACGTACATACTGAGTGCATGTAAACGATCCCTTGGCTGTGGTTATTCGATATACATAAGAGTAGGCTGTAGCGCCACTGCCTGGGCAAAATTTCCCTCATACCACACTGCATGGTGTATGTCCGTCTTCATTAGTCCAGTCATATTGTTTATTTTTGAACAATGTATGAAACATCTGAATATCGACATACCTATTGAGATTTTTGATACACTGTGAAAGTAATACACCCAATATTTTCAATATATTTATAGATTTTATGATTATTATATTATAGTGTAGAGAATAGTGAGATGCAGGTTTGTTGTCAGGATACATTACAGAACTTTGATCGTTGTATGTTTTATGAACCTGGTGTGAGTATGTCAGAAGATAATGTTAGTTTAGAACAGTTACAGTATTTAGATGATGATATGGTATTTAAAGTTGTTGTTACATGTATATCTTCAATTCATCTTCTACAACAAAATGGTGAGCTTCATACATACATTAATCATTTCTTCTGAGTTTGTTTCATGTTCTAATACAGATTTCATTGATAAATTCCATACAAATATCAACAGAGATTGTTGATATTATACATCAGAGTGCCTAACAACAACAAATCTATAATTCATCAGTAGTTGAAAAGCATCAGCATTAAGATTTGTGTTAAAGGTGAACTTTATCTGTTGCCAATTGCTAATGCACAACATGACCTACAGATCATTATTACATCATCAGAATTACTGTCAGTCAGTATTGATAGACATAACCATGTGCTCCTGCTATAATAGTTACGATCAGTACCCTGTAATGACCAGGTGGCTGTGTGTAAAGTCAAATATTACAACAAGATTACTGAATCAAAATTGGATCCAAAGAAACTTTACTCAACAGCATATGATCTGCTAAATACATCTAAGAATAACAGCATCTTACCTGATTATGAATCACAATTAGTTCTGGCTGATGTGTTTGTACAATATTTTCATGATAAGATTTCACTAATTTGATCTGATATAATTGTCAACAATGTATATGAATGTATAATATGGATCGGCAAACAAAAAGCTGTTTTGATAGTATTGTTGGATTTATCGGCAGCTTTCGATACTTTGGATATTATAGACTTGCTGGACATGCTTTGGGAAGAAATTGGTTTAAGGGAATGTGCTTTTAATTAGTTTAAGTCGTACTTAACTGACAGAAAACAAAAAGTGCTCATCAATGGTGAATACTAAGAGAACAGAATTCTTCTTTGTGGGTTCCTCAAGACTCTGTCCTAGGTCCTGTTCTCTATATTATCTTTAACTACCACTGAACAAATTGGCATTAAAATATCGACTTATGATCCCCACCTATTTGCTGACGATACTCAGCTGTATATTACTTTTGAGCCTGCCGCACATGACTCAACATTAATCAATATTGAAAACTGTCTTGATGAAATTCATACCTGGATGACATTTCACTTCCTGAAAATAAACCCAGACAAAACTGAATTTATGTTTATAGGAACAAGGCAAAAACTCCAGCAGTGACTGCACTCTTTTCATTGCAAGTGAAACTATCACACTATCACCTAAAGTCAAGGCCATTGGAGTTATTCTAGATAAAAACTTGTCTTTCCAACATCGTCTGCATTCTTTAAAATACATCAACTGGCTAAAATTAAAAAGTACCTATCTGCCGATAACCTGAAGCTACTCGTTCAATCTCTGATCATGTTTAACCACAACTACCACAACACTGTCCTTTATGGTGTCGCAGACAGCCACCTACACAAACTTCAACATTTTCAGAATGCTGCAGCATGGTTGATCAAATGCACCAGGAAAAGGGATCATATTACTCCATTATTGCATGAACTTCACTGACTTCCAATTAAATCTCAAATTAACTGTGAAATATTATTATTAACATGTAAGTCGATGAATGGTACCGCTCCAGATTACATATCTGATCTGCTTGTCAAACCACAACACTCTGAACTCTGCGATCAAATGATAAAAACCTTGTCGTACCAAACTTGAATGACCAAATGTGTAGACATTCTTTTGGAAATGTTTCATCTGTATTGTGGAACTCAATCGATCCTAATTATCCCCTTAAAAACTCCAAATCAACTGACATTTTCAAACATGGGCTTAAAACGTATCTGTTCCAGTTACACTTTGAAACTGAGGATCAGTCATAAACTTTGCAAGTGCACTAGGGATCTTGTTACTATGGTGTTGGTGCACGATATAAATTTCCATATTATTATTAATACACAATAATAAAGTTTTTGTCTTGAGTACCAGGTTAACAGTGACTAATAGAAGTGGCTTGATTATCACAACAATTACTTACCACTGTATCTTTGTTATATACATGTGTATATGAAAATTAAAATTTTGAGGAAAGAAACACAGTATTAACTAATGGATATCTGGTTTATTTTTGTTTATAGGATCAAGACAAGTGGCTGCAGGTATAGCCTATCTATTAGCCATATTTTCACATATCTTAAATCATGTAGTTATACGACTTCAAGCTGCTTTCTATGACAAAGAAAATCCTAATAGATTACTTCAAAACAGTTTTATAGGTGAGTTTTCTTAACATGTTTTCATGACATTAATTATTACCTTTTCCTGGTCTTAGGACAAAGAATCTAGTATGATGCTTGATGGTTTGGGTTTTTTGTAGCATTCAAATATTTTTCTACTGACTTCAACCATGTGCAGATTTTCTCCACCATTTAAACCACCTCATCTCTGACATCCTAATCAGACACAATCATGTGCTTTCCTACTGTACAAACAAATATGACATCTGTTTCTTGGCCCATTCTCATCCCGCTTGGCATAAAAATAAAGCTGAAGTTGTCCTGGTTTCATTAGTCAATTTTATCAATTGTTTGGTTTAATGTAGATGAAGATTCATCATCAGGAGATTGTGACCAAGTTGAAACACACAGTGGTTCTATTGATCATCAGAGAGATACAGATAACAGTTTACCCACTACAACAACTCATGAAAAAACATCAGATTCTAAAAAGGTTGGCAGACTATTTTGATATGGAGCCACAGTGGCTCAGTGAACAAGACACTGCCTTGCTAGCCTGCAGGTCTTGGGTTGATTCCTGGTGTTGGCCGAGAAAGATCCTCAAGATTTACTCGCATTGTTTCCCTAGTCAGTGGTGAGGGATAGGGGGCCTGACAGGTTCTTTAAAAGAACCCTCGCCAATTGGAATTCGACATAAGAGTAGACTGTATCGCTACTGTCTGGGCAAAAATTTCACTTATAGCACACTGTATGGCATATGCTCATATTCATTAGCCCAGTCAGAACAGAAAAGTAGGATGGTAAACCCCATTTCATTTAATTTACCGTATATAAATACTAAAAAGAACAACATAATTTCATTATTACATGAAGGTAACTGGGTTTAAGATATTGTTTCTAAACATATAGACAGTAATAGAACATGTTTATCTTTTATCAGATACTGTACAATATTGTTATTTTATGACTATACAGAAATCTAAAGGTCGATCAAGGCATATAAGAAGGAGAAGAAGAAGAAAAGATAGTGATAGTAGTGAAATGTCTGATTTATCTGAGGCATCAGATCTGAGTGAAGGTAGATATTGCAATGATAATAAAAAAGAGTATCTAAAATAGAGATTACAATCATTAAAATGACATTTAACATCACCAAGTTCCTTTGAAGAGTGTGTGTGTGTGTGTGGGGGGGGGGGGGGGCATTGTAATCGAGCACTTAGGAAACTGGACTCTATGCCAGAATATCCTGAGGTGAAAGTCTGCTTTGAGCCCTGAAGAACCTTGGGATTTTTCATGTCAAGTTCTAAATAATTGACAAGTAAATGCCTAGTAATTTGGATGAGACAAAAAAACAAGGTCCCCTTGTGTCTGTGTTAGTGTTTTCATAAAAGAATTGAATTTTGATGAAAAGTATATAGCTGTTTAGACAAAACTCTCCTTCCTGACATTGTATGTGTGACCATAGACAAAACAATCATTTGTTAGTCTCAAAATGACTGAAGTATCGTGTTGACGAGTCAATAAATTCCATTCCTTGTCCCATCCTTTGAAGAGTAGTGAATTGTTCTATTATTTTTACATGTTTTTGATAACATACATCTACATGTTACAGTAGCCAATATAGTATGATCACATGGCGTGGGGGTGGGGTACTTTAATTTGTATTTTAGTGGATAAAATATAAAGAATTTGCCATGTACATGTATGCCTAGATTTTCCTTATGATGATGTAAAAATCTTGTATAAATCTTTATGATTATTTTTTTTGTAGGTATAAACGAAGAGCATTTCATGTCCGATGAATCGGAAGATGATCTTGTTAGCTATTTTGACCACGATTCTGACTCTGACTTATCAGAAGGCATGATGAACAGTCAAGAAATCAAACAAGATATTGCTGGAAAGAAAGAGGGAGATAACTCTAATCACAAAATAGACATGGCAAATTCTAATATAAATCATAATAATACAGCCTGGATAGACTCGGCTCCTGATAATTTGGCCCATTTTTCATCCAAACTTTTCTCTGCTTCTACATTTCTCGGACAGAATCTGGATACATCTAAAGGTAGTAGTCAGTTTGAAATTGATAAAGCTGATTATGAGAATTGTAAAGATATTATACAAGGAAAGAAAGATGTCTCTGTACCACCAGGTTTGTTCTTTATTATAATCTATATTTTTTTATGATTTAATCATTCATTTGGGACTTTTTTCTAATTGTATTATCATTACAAGCTTTAATTGTGATCCTGTTAAACTTTGTTTTCAAATGAAAGTAAATTGTGTTATATGAAGAACATTATGTAAAGAACATATTTATTGAAGAAACCCAGGACTTAAAATGGAAATCAACTGTATTACTTATATATTAGAGATTTCATTGGATTTTATGTGTAGTTTAATAATGATTCTTCATACGAATATATATATATAGGTATGATATTATTTCTAGGTTTTGTATCATCAGATGAAGCTAAACATGTAGCAGATATAACACACAAGTTAGCTAACTTTGTTATAGAAACTGACACAGAAGTTAGTTTAATCCCTACAGATACAGGTAAACATTATGTTACACATTAACACTAGTTTAATGTTATACATTATATTATACTAGTTGAATGTAATACATTATATTATACATCAACACTAGTTTAATACCTACAGATACAGATAAACATTATATTATACATCAACACTAGTTTAATATTTTACATTATATGTTATACATCAACACCAGTTTAATATTATACATTATATGTTATACATCAACACCAGTTTAATATTATACATTATATGTTATACATCATCACTAGTTTAATATTATGCATTATATTATACACCAACAGTAGTTAATATTATACATAATGGTATACCTTATGTTATAAATCAACACTAGTTTAATATTATACATTATGTATAGCAAAACCAGTTAAAAATTATTCATTATATTACACATTTGTTTTGTTATTTATAGATACAGGTTATACTTTAACAGAAACAGAGACTGAACCAGCAGAAAATAGTTCTACAACTAGTAATGATGATAAGTTAGTTTTAGATATAGTCTGTCTTATTTAAAAAGAGAATATGACATAAGGTCATTTAAAAAATTATTATTCGATTTATAGAAATAAATAAGGACAATAGATTATTAGTACTACTACATGTCAGATATAATCAAAACTATGACCACAAAAACCTATGTTATTGAATAGTACAAGCTGTATTTGTGTTGAAAGTAGCGATTTTGCAAGTTGTACACAATTATGTTTTAGAATTTTGTTTAGCATTGATTATAGTAAGCTGATAATACACTTTCTGTTTTTCACTCTTTTTGGCCTTTTGATTAATAAAATATTCTTATGAGAATCTTGAATGTCTTCACTTCTAGTGATCCATTCTACAGTAATCTATGATTTTTTGATATTGATTTAATGTTTGTTTTAAAATTTAATGTTAGGGGGAATCAGTTATTTTGTTATATCTTCTGTACAGTTCTTTTCTAAATATTACATGTTATTCTTTGGAAAGAATGCTATGTCCTATTAAAGCATATGTTTTGTCATTTGTATTTTACTAAAGTCTAATTTCTAATATTATACAGACCAGAAGCGGATCACCAACGTTTACAAAATCTACTAGATGTTATACATAATGAAGGGTTATTACCTACTGTAAAGATTATGTGTGATTGGATGAAATGTCATACACATATTATTGATACATGTGCTCAGGTAAGTTAGTAATTATAGTCAAATGTTTATTTAAAGTTTCATTTCATGAAAATATTAAAGATACATTAAAGAGCTGACAGTTTTCACTATAGTAGTTAAAAACTAGATAATGTAAAGGGAATATGCTGAAAATTTCAGTCAAATTGCTTTACTCTAAGCCAAGAAAACCATATTTTAAAATCACTGTAGCCTTGATTGTCATTGTTACTGCTGTCACGATAATTAACAAAGTCTTGATTATCCATTTTTGCTGTTAATCATCAATCGGCGTTGAACAGCAGATCAATGAAAATCGGGCACATAAGATAGCATCAAGAGTTGATCATGGTTTTTTCATGTTAATAAATATCTAATTAATAGTTTATATAACATTCCAGGCCTAAAGGAGGACCTTCAATAGGCAAATTTAGCTCTTGCATAATGTATGTTTAATATTTTAATAAAATGTTTATAGGCAGATTGAATATAAATACAGTAATTATAATGCTGAATTTTAAATATATGTATTTAGAAATATAATCGCAATCTCAGCCTAATTTAGATAAATGGGAAGTGAACTTTGTAATGGCATAAGAAATACTGATACTCTCAAAATTATTGTTGTAATTTTCATGTTATTATCGATGTAAATGTTACTTACAATTTGATGTCATGGTTAAATTATATTTTGTTTTTCAACTTTTAGAGTTCTCAATCATTATGGTGTAGATTGTCTGTTTTGTTAAACTTTTTACCAGTAGAAACAGATCTTATTCAACATGGTGAGTTTTATGTATTTTTCAAAGAGAAATCTATTTTAGTTTTTATACACCCACATTGAAATTTGTTTACATTAATAAGACGAAGAAGCCTGTTTAATTTAAAAAAATTCCCTTCATTACTTCTAGAGTTGTAGAACCTTGTGAATGCTCTACCGACTGTATTAGATTTACACTTTAGATTCCTAGAATTAGTGGTTGTTTCAGTTTGTAGAACCTTGTGAACCCTCAAACAATGAAAATTATAATCTCATCTGACTTGTAAATGCCCCCAATTACCTACAAAAGTATAAATATGTGAGATGATTTAGCTGCTGTGGGCCAATCTTTGTGCTATTATTATCGAACTATCTGCATTCAAATGGCATTTAGTTCAACCTATGGCAATGGCCAGTCACGACAAGAGTTTTCATCCAATCTGTATGAAATTTATGTGCATTATTTAGAGAATTAAAGCAAAACAGCCTATTTCACCAATTTCCTTTAATTACTTTTAGAGTTATGGGCCTTGTTTCACTTTGTTGTCTATTGTGAACACTCGAACGACTAAAGTTATCATCTGATCTGTATGAAATTGATATGCATTATTTAGATCAGTAAAACTAAGAAGCATGTTGAATTTCAGCAACTTCTGTTTAATACATCTTGAGATATGGTTGAGATATTTTCTCATGCAGTCAGCGCATACGTTCAAGCCCAAAATCCCATTTTCACTCGATAGTCACTATTTTTGGGTTTGACAGAATTCAATTCCGTAACGTTCAATCGAGCATCCCCCTTTTGAATGCAATAGAGGTTACAGTTTTTGCTGTGAGGCATTGTGGTTATGAGAGGACAAACCCTATTAATATTCAATATATTCCAGAGTTATCCCCCATTTAGAGACTGTAGTTTTTAACGGATGTTTTTCAAATCTGGTATGAATTATTGTGGTCATGTGGGGACGAACCCAATGGATTATTAGCATTCTGCTACTTTCTGTTCTGGGGTGCTCCCCCATTTTCAAAAGCCTTGTGAATGCGATAAAGGCTATATTTTTTAATTGATCTTTTTCGTAATTGGCTTGAAGCATTGGGGTCATCCCTATAGATAATCATAATCTGCAGCCTTTTGTTCCAGAGTAATCTCCCTTTTGCCGAAGGCAGTGTGAATGCGATAGAGGCTATATTACTATATTGGTTTTAGCAGGGGTTTTTTCTATCAAATTTGGTTAGAAGCAATGGGGTAGTAAGAGGATGAACCCTAGAGATTGGATTTCTTCAAGGATCCTAGATCCTTATCAAATTTGTTCAACAGCCAAGTTTCTCTTTCGGATAATCTGCAGTTGAGACAAAACTGCTGTGTGGGCGTACTCCATACTTCGCGTGGCTATCTTCCTATTCTATTTAATGAATGTAGAAAAACTGTTAAAGGGTACAAACAACCAGATACTTACATTTTGGGTAATTGAATGAGTAAGAATTTGTGCATTACATCTGTATGCCTACTGGCTGAAACTGAGGAGAGATATCCCTTATCTTATACTCTTTTATAAGGTGTGTTTGCTCGAAATTAAATTTTAATTCTGTCTTCAGATCAATGTTGGTTGGAAGAATTACAGATAGTATTACAAGATATCTACTCACAGGACTGGAAACAAGAATTCCCTTTGAAAGAAGATTTTAACTTGTGTCATTTACCTCCCCTTGTAGATGTTCATGCCGGCATGAAGTTTACCATGAAAACAAGATCGGCTCTTACAGAAATACAAGAGGTTAGTAAAAATGGTTATAATTGTTTATGTCTATACACAACTTTTACATCAGTAATTATTACTTCCATAACTTTGTATTTCATTATTCTTAATTAATATTGTTATTTTAGTATTAACTGGTCTATGCCGTACAAGATAACGTGAACTGATTGGAAAGAGGTTTCAGACGACTTTTTTGGCCCTGAACTTGATTGTCTCTTTTATATGAATATGAACGTTACAGATTTAGGTATAATACTTTTGAATGAAAAAATACCTTAGAAATTACCAATTTGATTTGTTTTGTTTTTTTTTACATTTTAGACTTTTTTGAGAATAGCCTGTTTACGTCAATTTGGTCACTTTTTGTCATCAATAGATAGTTTAGAGTTTAGTTATAAAGCAGAAGAAGCTATGTTTATAGGGCCAACACAGGTTACCAATGAAGAAGAAACTGAGAAGGCAGCACAAGATAGAATGGTGAGTCAAAATATTTAAATTTTATTCAAGCACATCATCAAATATATCACACCATCATTTTTGCTTGTACACTTACTTTAATTTGCCAATTTTTTTCTTTTTCTGCAACTTTAATTAAAACTCATAAAGATTCTAAATGATTGAATGTGTCGTATTATTGTCAAAAATTTGTGACTTAGGATAGAAAATTATTGCAATAGCTTTGAAATAACCTGGACTAAAGATTTTATTTTTATTGGACTGGGGAATTACTTAAGCTTGTAATTTATTTCGCTACATGTGTAAAATAGTTTCAATGTATTTTTGGGACTGGGTTAACATGTTGGTAGAAAAATATTGATGCTATTGTATCCAAAATATTGATAAGTAATAGAAATTGTAGTAAAGCTTTAGGGTAAGCCTGCTTCCCAACAAAAATTCTTAATATCTTCTTTTTGACAGAAGTTTTGGGGCAGAAGAGATGAGGTTTTTTTATTGATTTTGATTTAAAGCCGTTTTAGCAATAGATTAAAAGCATGTCCATTTACCTTAGCTTTGTTAGTACTTAGCAATTCTGTTGGACTAAGATAGTAATTATTTTCCCTGTTTTCATCGATTCTAGCAATTGTCTTTAACTCCGCCCTACCATCCCTAGTTTTACATTACAGTCTTTGTTCAATATTGTTCTACAATCAAAATAAGTGTTTGAAATTAAAATTTGGAGAATATTCAGGATTTTGTGCTTGAAGGATCAGTGAGTATACAGACATGAATTCAGGAAATCACCTATGTAAATGAAGTCGCAGCTTAGACGTTCCTCGGTTGAACAGATTTTTGTGCTGTTATGGTCAAATATACAAGGTGATAGTCCACGGTCAGGCTAGTTCAAAGATGGCAGTCAAGACTGATACACGAGTAAATTTGTCTGAAAAATATAAAATTGCTTATTGCCGTTGTGAATGAGTGATGTGGTATAGAATTGCTTATTGCTGTCGTGAATGAGTGATGTGGTAGAGATGGTAACAAATTTGATTTATTTTAGAGATTTCTTGATGAATTTGATAGATGAAGATCCGGTTATTCAAATATGTAGGCCCATGACAGGAAACCGAGTGAAATGATCTTGGTTACATAATTCCTGTGAATAATGTTCTTATATTGATTTATCCTATTTGTAATCTTCTTCATCCCCATTGTCAAAAATGAGTACACTGCTTAAAATATAACATACGGTACAATTGACATGTGCCGCTGCCGCCATATTGAAAAGTCAATGGTCAGGCCAATTGCTGATCGGTGCTGTTTCCAGCTATAGTTGCAACCATAATCTACATACAAAGGTCACCCTATAGATTCCTTTAACCTGACTTAGAAAAAATTTGACATCCTCAGTCCCTGTTGGTATATTTATCAGATGATTTTAAAATTGTGGCTTCTGTGTTGTAAAAGTTATAAATGGCATGGATTTATCATTGAGGAAAATTACTTGTGTGATCCTGATGTTAAATAGGGTTATCTCCCTTTACACAGTTCTGCAATTTATTTTCTGGCAAGAACATAGCAAAATTATCAAATTTTTTTGAAAAGTTTTCTAACAGAATTTCATTTGTTCTGTTTGATTGCAGGGATATAGCCACTGAAAAATGTTTGGAAAAAGGGATGGTCAAATTGGTTTTGTAAACAAATTGTTTGGTTCATTACATTAATATTCATTATTACAATGGTTGTTTTCAAAACTAATTTTAAAAGAGTAAATTCAATTTAAGCAGGACAATAGCTTCATGTATTATGTATTTACCATTTACATGTGGGGGGAGGGGAGTGATCAGGTGGCCGTGTAATCTAATGTGTGCTGTAGATGTCAAGGTTGTCATGTATGGAAAGATGCTAGTTTGTATATGACATGGAATAGGTTAGCCTGCCTAACAATTGTGTTTTTTCTCTGTGTATTCTGGTTTCTTTTCACTGTTAAAAGACCCATGCGTACATACAAATTATTTTTTTTAAAAAAGGGAAAAATTATGTTACTCCAGAAATGACTTAGTTTGTGTTGATTCTACTCCAAGCCTATTTTTCTCTCTTATTTGGTAATTATAAATAGTCTCTTCATGTGTTTTGATACTTTGTCAGTAATTGTAATACTGCATCTGTGCATCACAGTTAAGTGATAGTTGTTTTTAGCTTCATGGTGTGATCAATCAGAGTGGTAATTTCACTTAATAAAAGTTAGTTTAAAATTGAATCTGTTGTTTCCTACAGATGTCAGTTTGCACAGATGATAATATTATAGGTTTTCAAAATTTGTATATGCACGTTTCAACTTTTCTAAGATATTCAAAAATTATTTCTGCTTGTATATTTAATTATATGGACTGTTGCTTCTGAATTAGTTGTCCATATAAACACAAACCATTTGAAAAAGTTGTGAGTCAAGAATTATCTCTGTCATACATTCTGTATTGCATTCAGGTTAATTCAAAAACCTACAGTATGACTAATTAATTCAAATTGCACAAATTAAAAGAATTACTGACATTATTTCATGTGTAATAAGTTGTGTTAAAGGAGATATCACATATATTTTAGATAATAAAATTTTAGCTCTGTGAAATGTTTTCAAAGAACCTTTCCATCAAGTTGTCACATGGAGTGAAGACAAGCTTCCTGACTAGCAGTCACCCTCTGTATACAACTCAGACTATTTACAGTGACATTTGTCATTTTCATGCCAGTAATAGAATTTATCAGGTCACTGCTGTGTTTTAATTACCATTGATCAGTTAAGAATAGTATACAATAGTCGCAGTTATCTCTCAATGGTAAAATGATGGTTATCACTCTAAAAGAATTACATAAACCCTGGTGATTATTTCCAAATGGTTCAATATTTTAACCTGAAACTTCCAGACACGTTTTAGTCTTTGGTTACAGGGTTAAACTTTAACCATTAACACTTGTGAAGAAAACAGATTTCATGTTTCAAGATTTTATATATTAAACCGGTATTTAACAAAGTTTTAGTTTTTCCTACGTATGTGTATAGATTTTTAGAAGTAAAGAGGAATAACATATTATTACTGACTACATGGTTTAAGTGCAGTTGTTGATAACCTGGATGAATTGATATTGTAGAAATTGTGATTGACAGATGCATGTGTGTCAATTAACCTTATTTCTGGTGGCCCACACAGCATGTATAGGAAATACACCTTACATCCAAATGATAGTCTGAACTGATAGCTTTTATCTTACTCCATAATAAACAGCCAAATACTCCCTAGATATTTACATTATACACTATTTATTTATTTAGATATACATATCCTGTTCACTTTTAATATAAAATAAACACATGGTTTTTACACCCTGTCTGTCTTTTACATCAGAACAATTTCCTTGCCTTGTTATTGTTTAGGGTTTAAAATACTGTGTCATACCCAATGTGTTTTACATTAGTAATAGACACTTAAAATGGAATTTTTATGACGATACTCTTTTTTTTCATATAATGTTATTCATATGAGAAATTAACAAAATTTAAATACGTATTATTTTAAATAAGTATCCAGTCTGTACAAGATATGAGTAATCTTAAATGTTTTTTTTTAAGCAGGAAATTAAAATTCGTGTTCTGGCATTATTTTTAGATTAATTTGTTTTGACACCTCAGAATACCATTATGGTTATTTGTAAATCCTGAGCCAAGTTTATAAGAGTCTATTATGAAAGTTATAATTAGCATGTATTTCAACGAAGCATGTATTTGCTCAACACACAGGTTTAATTTAATTTATGCTCTGAGATGTAAGGCTCTTAGATGAAGTAGTTTATGGCTTAAAGAACACATTTGGTTTTAATTGCTTCCTTATCTTGATTCCAATTGCCTTAATTAATTCCAGAGATGTTTGGGATTTGGAGTCATCTAATTAAGTAGAAAGCTGGACTGGAACTTCAATGATGATAACTAGGGCCTTTAATTAGATTCTTTTAACCTCCTTCTGTGTCTCTATCCCCTGTAATTAGCATGGCTCACTTACACAGATTAATGTTCATATGTATAATACATCAAGTCGTGTATTAACACCCACAGAATAAAAACAAAAAACATGAAAGAGAATAAACCAGAACAAATGAAACAGGAAAACAATGGTAACCAGTCTTTGTAATTCTGAATGGCTCGGACTTGAATGGTATATTAAAATAGGTATAATAAGTGGGAGTTGAGTGTGTTCTAGTGCTTTACAACATATGAATCTTTTGATATTAGGTAAATGGAGTGTACTTGTCACTTTTATCAAAATCTACCCCCTTCTAACTAATGTGTAAAAGATGATAAAATGTGGTTGTATTCAAATGGTATGTCAGACCTGTTAGATACTAAAAAAATGTTAAAACTTTAGGTTTTATCACCATGTTAAACTCCATAAACAGCAAACAATTGATTTGATTGAAAACAGATTTGAATTGAGCATTGTCATGTGAGATAAAGGAGCTCTGTTATGCAATAAATGTCCAAAGATAAATCACAAATTCCACCTTTTGGAGTTCATCCAGTGGACTTATCATCAATTATCTGATATATTGAATATGATCAGCCACCTGTCACAGATTACTCTAAATTAATCCTATATAAATATAGGTACTAGCTAGTATACTTATAATGATCTAATTATATACAGATGTAGGTAACCCGAGGAGCTTGTTTGCACATTTTAAAGATCTAGTTCATCATCATAAAACTCAATAAACAATATAAATTAAAAGATTTGCCCACTGAATAGATGTAAAAGTAATTGATCCACAATGTCCAGTCGGTTGAATTTATTTATTGATTGACAGGAGAAATCAGCATAAGGTCATGCATGTGGGCATTCTGAAATAATTTGAATTGATTTGTTAGAGGAAAGGATGCTCTTTGTTCCTAGAGAAATTGAAGAAGTAGAAAGGAACAAAAGGACCAAGCTGGTAAAATGTAGTCACATATGCCCAAGATAAAAACATGGCTCTGGTTTCTAATTATC